AAATGTTTATTTACTTTTAGTTAAACACAAGAATCTTAATATCTATAAGTTAGGAATTTAAATTGAATAGCTGTAGCTAAGCCTTAGTTCTCTGTGGAATTCGACTCTGAACTTGTAAATCGAATTATATTTGCAACGACCGCTTAGTCCTTTTTATAAGGCATAATTGAGCATGATTATCCTTTAAAAGGACGGGTGAATATTCTGCCCGAAACAGACCTTGTACTTTTTGCAAAAGCTAAGGATTATGGGATCCACCGGAGCAAGTGTGAAGGGATAAGTGTAAATACTTAGATACCCCTCAACATGAGTGGTAACGTCCTCATTGGGACTAGGGACGACCACTTCTTTGTCCACCATTTCCAGTCCTCCTGAATTGTAAGGTGTGTATTCTTGATAATGGAGCATATGTACCTCTATAACCCTCGCCTCAGTCTTGTTGACTTGAGGCTTTCTCGACCTTGAAATCGTTCTCAATGGAGCAGCCTCCGGGGATTTATGATTTTGTAAAATTGCCCTCAATCGGTACTATGTAGACTTGTTTATAAGCTCAGTTTGAACTTATGTTGACTTTGCTTAACTCCAGCTTAGTATGATTTAAGAGGGATTTGAAATACATCTTCAATCGTGGCGTATACACTTTCAGTGAAGGCTCTTCGATAACTATAGCAAGTTAAATGGACTTGCTCTGAGTTGTGCCATCTTAGCTGGCAGTCCCAGCATCTCCAAAGCTATAGACTATTTGAAATGAAGATGATTACAAACTAAATTACCAAATTCTTTTCGGAAAAGACTTCAAAGAATATGCATGACTGCTGAGAGCATCTTTTAGATTATGAATTGTTTACAATAGTCAAACAAAACTGCATAAGTGGTTTGATCTTATTAAGAATGATGAAAAAGCTTTTACTTCATTATATTACTCTTCTCCTTACATGTTAACTTTTCTCATTTCATGTCTTAATTCTATTTACTAAGGTTTTAGGCTCACCTCTTCTTTCTCTTGGGCAGATACCTATTCCTACTGACAATGTGTATGCGATAAACGATGCACTATCAGTAGAGGGTGCGTCAGATAATTACGAGACTTGTCTAAGATACTTGGTTAAGACCAAGATTGTAGACATATCCGATGCTACTGGATTTCAAAAATTTGATGTGATGCTATTGGGTATGGGTCCCGATGGGCATGTAGCTTCCTTATTTTCTGGGCATCCTCTTGTCCATGAGAAAGAGAAGTGGGTCACCTTCATCAGGGAATCTCCAAAACCTCCACCGGAAAGGATTACATTTACATTTCCTCTAATAAACTCATCGGCAAATATCGCTCTTGTTGTAGCAGGTGCTGGGAAGGCAGATGTAGTACATAAATCACTAGGTGATAGTGAAAGCCATGTTCAATTAGTGATTTACTTTCCATGTTAGCAATTTTTGTTGGGTGAGGTTCCTTGCTTAAAAGCTTGAGAATCTGCTGATACTGTTCTGGATTGAAACCCTACACAGTTGGAATATTCTGCATAAGCATATGTATTTCCTGCATTTTGAGACTCATCCCCTGCATTTACATTGTGAGCCATGGGTCCACTATTGTCTTGTGTTCCTCTCCTCATGTTGTTGTTGAACTTGAACCCTGGTGGATATCTATTTAATTTGTAGCAAGTCTCCCTTGTATGCCCCTTCATTTTGTAGTAATCACATAGTAGTATATTGTTCCTCCTTGGCCTCATATTAGAAGCATTTGCAGTTACAAGTGGACTACTGTGCATACCTATAAGTGCGCCTCCTAGAATCCCACTCTGTGCAGCAGATCCATTACTCATTCTCTGACTTTCTTCAGGGATAATCATGGAATATTCCTGGTCAAGTGTTGGTGTTGGATGCATCATCAATATTTGACTTTTTTGTGGTGCATAAGTTTCATTCAAACCCATCAAAAACTTCATAAACTTCTACTGATGCAAGAACACAACAAATTGCCTGGATTTCTCACAATCACAACTAGGAAATGAGATAATTGACTCAAATTCATCCTATAGATCATTCAGCCTAGAGAAATATACGGATACACTAGAGATTCCTTGTGTCAAGGAACTTGTTTCCTTGTTCATGTGATAGATCTTTGTGGCATTTACTTTATCAAATCTATCTTTCATGGATTTCCACACCTTTTGTGCATCTGAGAAGTATACGATTCCTCTTCTGAGTTCTAGTACTACTGAACTCCTTATCCGTGACTGAACTATAGCATTGCATCGTTCCCATTGCTTTAACCTAAAATTATCATTTTTATATTGTTCTCTAGTGCAGGTTCCGTCTATAAAACCTAGCTTATTCTTCACCAATAGTGGCATTACCATAGACCTACTCCATTCCGAGTAGTTTTCTATTTTCAATCAGTAATTCATGTACAAGTGAGATACATGGCGTGTCCTAAGGATGCACATAAAGTAGATCGTTGCAATCAAGTATTTGAGTGTTTGCATGTGACGATCCAGCACTGAATCAGGAGTATCACCAACCATTTCAGCACAAACAATCGATGAATTTTGCAGACCTCAAAAGTAGCAAACAATTTTAGAAAGTTAACAAAAAATTGGGGAAAAGGAGATTTGAAGAAAGTAACGAGACACCAGAGCTTGACTGTAAGAATCGCATGGAACCGGGCTCTGATACCATATCAAAATGAGGCCCTAGGTCCACCATTGTCAAGCAGTTGTTGAGAAATGCGAACAAAGGTAAAGAATAAGTAGTGAGAGAAGAAACGAGAAGAAAGAGCTTAGCTCCGCTCATATTTTCACTAACTACAAAAAAGATGTACTGTATATTACATATATACTTAACAACTAACCAACTAACCTCCTATTTACATCTTCTAGAAGAGTACAAGTTAAATAGCCTTATGTACAACCTTTACAAGCTATTAATTTCTACAATTAATTTATTGTGATCAAATTATATATTAAAGTAAATTATATATTAATTAATTAATTAATTAATTAATTAATTATGATCTATAACAAAAATTAGGTACATATCAAAACATCTTTACCAATACCAAGTTAAACGACAGTAGTACACGTGCTAGTCACTGATCCCTACCCTTTCATCGAATGCCACGCCCCAGGTACTCACCTACCCAAAAAGCTCCAGCACGTTAAGCTCTTTCTTTCACAGTCGCCGGTGGACTAGTTTATTTGCACTCTCAGTTCCTATATAACATGACAGAGTGCGCAGTGCGCTTAGCCTCTTCTTCTTGCACTCTCTCTGCTAACTTGCACATCTCATCTACCCGATTCTCTCTTCTCCGCCGATCTCTGCCGTTGACCTCTGCATCTATTATTGGCAAGTCACTTTTTTGCTCGTGCTCACATAGGTGAATCTCAGTATTGAGTACAAACTCATCAAAATCTCAGTTTACAACTAAATCATCAATGGCTGAGACTGTGACAGGGAAAAGTAAAGGGAAAGTAGACCTATTGTTGGGCGGTTGGGTTATGACCTATTGTTTAGCCCATCTTGACACAGCCCATCTTAGCCCAAGTATACTTTGGGTTGGGTTGGGCAATGACCCATTTATTGACCTAACCCATCTTGACCCGCCCAAATTTAGTCCAACCCGCCCATTTGCCATCCCTACTGATGAGGGCATCTATTAGATTACCAACTGTTCATGATACTTACATCACATACAAAACTGCCTAAGCGGTTTGATCTTTTTAAGAATGATGAATGAGCTGTTACTTCCTCACTATTTTCCTTTTACATCTTTATTCTACCTACTTAACTTTTAATCTCATTTCGTCACTTCTTTTTATTTCATCGCTTCTCTCATTTCACATCTTAATTCTATCTACTATGCTTTTAGGCTCACCTCTTCTTTCTCTTGGGCAGATACCTATTCCTAGTGGCAATGTGTATGCCATAAATGATGCATTATCAGTAGAGGGTGCAACAGATGATTATGAGACTTGTCTAAAATATTTGGTTAAGAGCAAGATTGTAGACATTTCTGAGGCTACTGGATTTCCCAAATTTGATGTAATGCTATTGGGTATGGGTCCTGGTGGGCATGTAGCTTCATTGTTTCCCGGGCATCCTCTTGTCCATGAGAAAGAGAAGTGGGTCACCTTCATCAAGGAATCTCCAAAACCTCCACCGGAAAGGATTACATTTACATTTCCTGTAATAAACACATCCGCCAATATTGCTCTTGTTGTAGCAGGTGCTGGGAAGGTAGATGTAGTGCATAAATCACTAGGTGATAGTGAAAGTTCTAATTTGCTTCCCGTGCAGATAGTTTCACCTGAAGGAGAATTGGTCTGGTTTTTGGACAAGGCTGCCGCTTCATACCTGTAAGGATGATGATATATGAGTTACAAATTAGTGTGTCGAAGAAGTAAAACAATTAGTGCTTCACTGCTGTGTGTGTATTTTGTAATTTTAATACATTCTCAAGAAGGGATGTTTTCCCCAGTATTGCCAGCAAAATGCTGAGGTTTCATATGCCATTATCTAGTTGTTAGCAGTTTCTCCTCACTTGTTTCTATGATGATGCTTGGCTCTCACTAACTCGCTAATAAAAGTGTAGTTTGTGCTGTTATTATCTGTTCATCTGGCATGTGGAAAACTTCTTCGTATCATCACCTAGGTGTAATATGCCTGCATTATTCAATTTGGTGCAAAGCAATGCATATTTGATCATAAAGCTTAGAAGCTTCCTCCTTCTTTGTCAAACGAAGCAAATTCAAAGCAATAACGTAATATCTTACTGCAACGTGATAGATAGACGTGGATTATAATACTTAATATTAGCATTGTTCAATTTACATATGTTTGACACTTTGAGTCGATGTTAAACGCTTCTTTATTTGAGAGTTGAAAAGTAACAAGAAATAATGTACAAGGGAAGTTGTTTGGTCGACGTGACAAACTTCCAGTTTGGATTAATTTCAAGCTAGCCTTTCGGATAGAAACCACCATTACACGCCCGTGATATCAAAGACCAAGACTTCTTTATTTTGCCATATTACTGAATTTGCTCTTTGATCTCACAAGGAATAAGAATTTATTCGCTTACGGGTTACGACTTACAGTGCTTTGTCCCAGGTGTTTTTTCATGACAATAAGCCATCTTGTTGCTTAAGTATTCAAACTGTTCTAGATTAAGAGCCACTTCAGTGCACTAGCAAATAAAAAATAAGGTTGCTGTTTTATAGTTGGGATGAATCAATGTCTTCAAACACTATTAAAGTGATCAAACGAGGGTTTGTTGGAATAGGCACTGCCAATTTTGTTAAACTGGTCTAGCTTTAAGTGTAGCATCCATGAAGAAAAGTCACAATCTTTACACCTTGCAACTCAATGGTTAAAAGATCCCAGCTTTCACACTATGAATTTCACCCTCATATTTGCACATCATTTGGTGTACTTGGTGCAAGTATGTTGAAACAACTGGAAGTTGAGAAAGAGGAACCAAAGATAGGAGAAGGAAAAAGATGGTAACAAAAAGAATTTTGAGTCTGTTAAACAGCTATGAGACCATCCCAGGCCTGCAAGCAGAGCTGAGAACGATCCTCTACTGCTCCAAGGCCACAAGTGACCACGAAAAGCTGTTAATCACGCTCTAGCCTCAAAGCCATGCCTCATCAACCATACTTGATTTTCTGTCTCCTTAGAACTCAAGGATACAGTGGTACGAGCCTATAGAATAGATCCTGTTCAAGTAAGGTCGTGCCCTTCAGTTGTAGTGAATGGCTATATAAACGGCAAACGGATAAGTTAATGCGTCGATGTGGGATAGATCTTATGCCAATCTTCAACCCTGACAAACAACTAGGTTTTCTGCTCTCGGGCAAACATGACCAAAATCGAATCCAAAACTAATAGTAGAAGTCTACTTTGTGATTTTGATTCGTGTGGAGAAAACAAAAATACTGCCAATGAGGTTAAACTTTGAATAAAAAACATTAAAATTATTTTAAACTAAAAAAAAACCCATCATGTTTACAAGACAAATTAAATTAGCCGTTTTGAGCAGCCATGGATGCTATCGTCTCTCCCCTGCATCAAGCTGTGGGAGAGTCCATCCAAATCAGTACAGAAACATGCCCAAAAAGCAATATAAACCAGTCATATTTAACGCAGCTACAAGGAAAGCATTCTGCCGCAAATTCGTCAAAACTCGAGCTATGTCCAGTCACGTTTGAACATGGTGAACCTACTGTGGAATTCACCATTGATGAGGTAAATCCATTCACCATCGGAGAAGGTTTACATCAAGCAGTCATCCTCAAGTTCTCGTATGGAAAACCTGATCTTCGGGAGTTACGACAATTGATACCCAAACAATTTGATGTCAAAGGCTACTGTAATGTTGGACAATTGGAATATCAACATGTACTGGTAAGGTTTGATTTTTGAAGATTTTGTTCAAGTTTTATCAAGATCCACAGGTTATGTTAAATCGAAGGGCGATGAGTTTTTCTTTAGATCGTTCCCATGGAAAATTGGTTTTAATCCGCGAGAAGAAACTCCAAAGTCAGTTGTTTGGATTTCCTTTCCTGATTTACCTGCAAATTTCTTTGCCAAGAAGTCTCTAATGTCCATAGCTTCAGCAGTTGGCAAACCTTTAGCAGTGGACAAAGTGACACAAGATAGAACTCGACCAAGTACGACTAGAGTTAAGGTGTTACTTGATTTACTGGCTAAACATCCTAAGCGAGTTAGGATAAATATTGTGGATAAAAATTCTGGGAAGTTAGTTGAACATTATCAAGAGACTGTGTATGATAATCTCCCAAAATATTGCACCTGCTGTAATCATCAAGGACATGACGTAAAATCGTGTCGTTGGAGGATAGAGAAAACTAACGAAGAAGTTGCATCAGTGGTTGAAATTGAAGGGCTGGGCAGTATTGAGAAATTAGAAGGTGATGCTAGGCAGTTTCTCAATGCTAAAAGGGCAGAACAATTGGTCGATGAAGCAGCAAAGATGAAAGTAGTCGAGCAGCAGTAGCTGCTAACTGACTTTGAAAAACAAGTTGGATCAAAAGATGTTAATGGCCAATCTAATGTAATGAAAGCTGTAACAGGGGCATTGAAAGATGCTACTGATCATGCAAAGCAGACTGTCAATGTAGAGGCTAAATTTCCAAATGCACAAGCTGAAAGGGAGCAGGGATTTGAGCAGGGTACTCTGGCACAGGTAAATACTGTTGTGCCTGTTACACCTATGGGGAAAGCAGTAGTAAAAGGTGCTGAAGGTTTTGATCAATTCAGGACTGCTGCAAAGTTGAAAAAACATGTTGATATTGATGTTGTAAATGGTGCAGCTGCTGTCCCTGCTGCTACAGCATTGGCAATACATAAGTCTGTGACTGCAGATAATGCTATATTGTCCAGTGATCCTGTGCCTGATCGTGCTGCAATAGGGGTTACTAAAGGACCAGGGGATAGGCAAAGATTTGATGAAGTTGGGCATCGAACACCTAGTGCACATGTGCTTCTTTATGCAGGCCAAGTTGGTGCAATTATAGAAAACAAAACTAATGATCCTCTGTTGAATGAAATGGTTGATCGAGTGGTGTCTAAGGTTGATAAACATACTACTGCAAATACAAAAACAGCAGGTGTACAGCCTGGAGCTACTGATGATTTGAAGGAAGGTGTAAAGAGTGATAACAAGGCTGCAAAATGGACAATGGTGTCCAGTACTTCTGCTGAGTATTATGCAGCTTTGGATTCTACTGTTCCATTGAACGCTAATATGAATACAGCTTCTGCTGTATCTTTAGAGCCATCTGATGATCGAGCTGTCTCAAACAACCTTGATGTGGTTACACAAGTCACTGGGCCATCTGGGATTCAAAGTGATGTTGTTGTTTTGAAATGTGCAACTACTGGTGTTATAACACCATTAGTAGCAGCTTTTGATCATGAGCAAGTTTTAACTCCAACAGGTATGGCATCAGCTCATGGTGGTTCTCTGCAGCAGGATATCCAAAAAGCAACTTTTGTTGCTACTAGTGTAATGGCTAGTAGAAATACAGCAGCAAATGGATCTGCTAACGTTGGTGCAACAGCTATGCAGGCAAATGCTACTGCTGATGTTGTATTAGATATTACAGGCTTTAAACGTGAGGCAACACCAAGAACCAGCCATCCAAAAATACCACAAAGTGTACAACAAAAGCAGAAATTAGAAGTTTCAGATGCTCCAGTAAATGGCTCAAATCGAATGATGCCAAGGAGTAAAGCCTGGGTAGATCGAGCTGAGTATGAAGAAGAGGAACATTGGGAAAATGGTGTGGATGATGAGCTTGATGACTCCATTGAACAACAATCTGGGAAGCAGCAGCGACGCAGTCAAGAAGCTTCTTATGCTCATAATCATTCTCCTGGAATGCAACAACAACGTGCACGCACTCAATGTGATGCACTACTTCATCCAAATGCAGGACAACAACAACATTTTCCTACTAGCTTCATGACTGGACAGCAGAAGCAGACTACAGGCAGTCTACAGATTGAAACGAGCACAGTGGTTACTAGCTCGAAGGCAAAGGCAGCAAACAAGAAATCTGGAAGGCAGAAGCAGCAAATTGTGAAGACTCCTACTGCTATTTGTGATCGACATAAAGAAGCACCAAATCCGGGACAACAACAGCTAATTGAAAACAGTCCACAGTCAGTAATTCAGGTGCCAAAAGATGGACAGCAACACAAGGATAGAGTTTGGCTCGACGCGATGCAGCAACGAAATGGCACAAATGTACCTGAAGCCAACTCGATTGTAGTGCTAGACGCAAATCAATCTGGGCAGCAACAGCTTGATCCAAACAATTCACCTATTATACATACTTATGGTCGAAAAGCAACAACAATGTCCAAATTGGCCTTGATAGTCCTATAGGTCATCGACAAGTCACATCACCAACATCTGGACAGAAGCAAATTGCTACAACTAGTCAAGTTATGTCAGACGATGAGAGAATTTATTTGGAATCACTGCTGAGTGTCAATGCTCCACAATCTGTGAATTTGGGGATAAACTTGAATTTAGCAAAAGAGGACGATCCAATTTTTGCACTGTGTAGGCAACAGGATTTATCACCCTCGCTCATCGGACCAAATCACAACATTCGTACAAGAGATAAAAGCTGGGAAGGCAAGGTGAGTGACGGAGGAATTGTTAGGCGACCTCCAATGAGAGTTGCCAAACAAAAGCAGGCTGCCCCAACTACTTCTACAAGGTCCAACCGTTTAAAAAGGAAATGATGATTTTTGAATACATTTTGCACACAGTTGAGGGAATCGACAAAGAATTACAAATTGAAGATTTTACAAGTTTGGAAAAGAAGGGACAAGAATCAAATGGGTACTACATTTTATTTTACCACTTTCTTAGTATCCTCATCTGTAATATCATCACAGAGTATGTTATAAACTCTGTGATGATCATAGAATATTTGGTCCTTTCAAGTTCATATTTTTTACATGCTTCGCGAGGCTATTGTATGCCTCAATAGGATTAGTAAGGCAAGGTTTAGCCCGGTTTGTGTTGCCTTGGTCCTATGCCTTTGGAAATTATCCACACGGCTATGAGATTATATGCCCTCGTGAGACGTTGCCGACAGCTATACCATGAATCCTCTACATGAGGCTGCCATCATAAGGCAGTGTGAGGTGCAGAGGAGTTATTATATAGCCAAGGCATTTGTGTAACAATACTGGTGCTATTGTCCCCCTTATTTCTACTCTTCCTAATTGTTGTATTTTTATTTTTCTTTTATTAATAAACAATTAGCCCTAGGCGCTTGCCTAGCGGATTGCTAAAAATAAATAAATTAAATTAGCCTTTCTACACTTGTCCGGAATCAGAAAAATAAACATAATTAAGGTAACGTGGAATGAGAAAATTTTGATACAAATCTGTTTTTATTTGTTTAAAATAGATTGACACTTTTTTATACACCTTTGTAAACTTTGTAGTTCTAATATTTTTATCAAGACACTTTCTTATAAGAATATTATTACATGTGTAAGGCCATAACGTTCAAATATTTTTCTTATATATTGTACACATGTTTAATTAATGCGTCAAATATATTATTTTCTTAGATCTTGCTTCCATTAAACACCATTGAATAAAATGAAACTAATGTAATAGTCAAAAGCAATTTTTCTTTGTCTGAAATTTATGTTCCTTTTTTGAGGTGAGCTGAACCATATAAAGATCAAGGATGATTTATAATTAATTTAATTCTAGTGTTAGTAAGGACAAGTGATATGAAGTAAAAAATCAAGAATGTTGTAAGAAAAATGACTTCCATCAATAGATGAGATAAGTTCACTCTATTCTTTTTGATAAAAAATATTTTTCAAGGTAATCAAACACCTAAAAATAATTTTATCATGAAAAATCTTTTATTTAAAAATGACTTTCATTATAACCCGACACACAAAAAAACCAAAAAGAAAAGAAAAGAGTTTTTTACATTGTCAGTTACTTATTAAATAATATTTAAATAAAGATTATTACTTTTGTTTTATTCCAAAAAGAGCACATTCATTTACAATTATATCATTTTTCCAAAATCAAGTACGTTTAGTTCTCTTCAAAATTTTAAATATAGTCTACAATTTAAGGTATTACTTTTGAAACATATTTATTTATCCATATTTCTCTCCCATCATTAATCTATACTTACCATCATGATGAGATCCGCTCATTTTCGTGCACGTAACCAACTACAAGTCTCTAAGGTTTGGTTGCCTGACGGGCTCTTCGGTCGAGCCCAAAATGGCCTAACGACAGACTGCAAGTCAAAAAGGAAATTTACATAAATAGCCAGTCAAATTTATTATTTATTTTTTCAAACTGTACATATAGATTATCAATTGATTATACATAATTATATATGAACTATGCACATATGATACATTTTCTGGCTATTTTTAATTTAAGCGATTAGTATGCGACTATTTAGATTAATTCTTCTATTTAAATACTAGCACCTTATAGAAGGTCAAGTTATGAGTTGCAGCTTCTCCAAGTGAGAATTTAGATCTTCCTATAGTAACTTGTAAAAAGTATTTAATCTTTGATTGTAGTAATTTACAGGTTCTGGTCAGTTCTATTTCTGGTGTGTTATCCCATTTAGAAAAGTAGATCAAAACTACAAGTTTATAATATGCAAGACAAAGTGATTCTTGTGGTCTGTGGATAGGATATGTCTCTATACGTCTCCTTATTTATTTGAAGTAGCTAAACTCGAGGTTGTTGGGATCCCTAAATTGGTTAAAAATTATTGAAGTTTTGCATACCTTGTCGTTAAAGCAATTGATGCTTGCCCCCTAAAAATATGGTATGATTCTTTATATGATTCAAAATCTTTTCTTATCCTTTTATGTCTTTCACGGTTAGAAGTGGAGTCAAAATTTAAAATTTATGAATTTGGAATTCTAGTCTGTTTAAGTTATTGAGTTCTAAATTAATAATTTATATATATTCAATAAATTTCTTAAGGCAAATATCGAGTTTGAATTAAAACTACTGAGTTCGACTGAACCTGTAACCTGTGTTTTAGCTCTGCCCCTGGATTGGAATATTGGATCATGTTAGGCGTTTGCTATAATTTTCTTACCAAATTTGACTTTCCTATTTATTGAAGGAAAGGGCAACATGTTTACCTTAACGTACACATGTGTGTGAGATACATGCGTGATACATGTGCCGTAGAAGAATTTTTTGAACGATTTAATTACGAATTTCGATACAAAACTAGTCCAAATTACCTCCAATCTTCCTCAAATTTTGTATATTGACTTATCGATATGTTTTCAATGAATTTCAACTGTACCCATTGAAAAAGTTACTTTTTGATTAGATTTTTGCTACCTCATCCATGAAATTTACTTTCCGTCTTGCATCTAATGTTGCTAATCACGCTTAAAAATATGGAAGGAGATTTTTGCATGTGATTCTTTGAGAGAAAGAACCTTATTTATTTGGTTTTATAATTTTTATATGTGTTTGGCTAGTTTTAGTAATGTTTGACCAAAAGATATTAAAACCCTCTTAATTATTGATGAAGATGAAGAGGTAAATCTCAGCTAAGCGTAATAAAATCTAGACTAGATGGTGCCAGGGTAAAATATGGTGAATGATGCTTCCTAATATGTTGGAACCAAATAATTATTCGTAAATGCGAGAACTTCAAATGTAAGAGAATATAGCAATGAATGCAATTAGTCAAGACCAACGGTGATATAAGGATTTTGATCTGTAATAAGCAAAGTTGTTCTTTCTTTATTCCTCCCTTATAGAGTGTATTTTTCCCCCTCTTTACAGGGGACAATCCCCCTTTTTACCCTAAAATAGTACAACACAAGGAATATTCGAAAGACATATTTCTATTGTTCCCTATCATGCTAACACAACTCTAGACGCCGTGCGTTCACTAGCCGTTGTTAGTTGTCACCCTTCGTGAAACTATGACTAACGCTAGAGCCAATTTTTCAAGGTGGGGTTATCTTGTTTCAGCATCAATTAAGGTTTTGCTGATATAGTAAATTGGCGATTGCGTACCTTTGTTTTCGTGGACTAAAACTGCACTTACCACGACTTCGGAGACCGCTAGGTAGACTAGGAGACAATCGCCTGGATCTGCTTTTGTGAGTAATGGCGGTGAGGACAAGTACGCTTTCAGTTTCCTTAGGGCATCGATGCATTCTGAATTCCACTGAAGTCCATGATCCTTCCTTAATAAATTAAAAAATTTATGGCATCTATCTGATGACCGTGAGATGAACCTCGATAGAGCGGCTATTCTTCATGTCAATTTTTGTACCTCCTTTTTGCTGGTTAATGTTTCGGGTATTCTTTCGATGGCCTTGATCTGATCTGGATTGACCTCGTTGCCTCTTTGCGACACCAAAAATCCAAGTAACTTACCCTAGGTTACGCCGAAGGCGCATTTTTCGGGATTTAATTTCATGTCGTATTGCCTCTGTATGTTGAAGGCTTCCTTCAGATGATCGATGTCATCTTCTTTCCTTTTCGACTTCACTAGCATGTCGTCGATGTAGACGTCCATGGTTTTACCGAAATGATCTTTGAACATTTTGGTGACTAACCTTTGGTATGTTGCCCCCGCGTTCTTAAGTCCGAAAGACATGACTCTGTAGCAGTATGTTCCTCGGTGAGTGATAAAAGTAGTCTTTTCTTGGTCTTCTTCTACCATGAGAATTTGGTTGTAACCAGAATAGGCATCTAAGAAGCTTAGCAACTCGTGCCCTGCCGTTGCGTCGATGAGCTGGTCGATGTGTGGTAATGGAAAGGAATCTTTTGAGCATGCTTTGTTTAGGTCGGTAAAGTCAACACACATCCGCCACTTTCCATTTTTCTTTTTCACCATGACAACATTGGCGACCCACTAAGGATACTTTGATTGTCAGACAGAGCCATTAGCGAGTAGCTTATCGACTTCTTCGCTAACTGCATCGTTGATTGCGGCATTGAACTTTCTCTTCATTTGCCGCACAGGCGGGTAGAGAGGGTCAACAGTCAGCTTGTGTGTGGTAATGGCTCTTGGGATGCCAGGCACATATGAATGGGAGAAGGCAAACAAATCGACATTGTCAGTTAAGAATATATGGAACTTACCTGGTTTTGAGAGATTGTGCCCGATATAAGCTTTTTTCATGCTGTCGTTGTTGTCCAGTTTAACGGCATTGAGGTCCTCTACGGTTGCCTCGCAGGCTTCTACGACGTCCGGGTCTTTGATAGCCTCTATTTGTACGTCGGGTTTGGTTCCCGATATGGCTGATTGCTATGCTTCCGAACTTTTTCCTTTTAATTGTTGGGTGTGTGTATAATCCTGGGCGATACGGTATCATTCTTGTGCGGTGCGTTGCTCGCCCTGGATGCTGAATATTCCCCATGGAGTAGGAAATTTGATTACTTGATAGAAACTTGACGGGACAACCCATATGGCGTGTATTCATGGGCGCCCTATGATAGCGTTGTAGGCTGTTTCTTGATTCATAACGTGAAACATTGTTTCCAGATTGACTCCTCCGCCTAGAACGGGCAACACTATCTCTCTAGAGGTTCGTTCAACTGCATTATTGAAACCCATTAGTGTTATACAATATGGTATTATTTTATCCTTGAGTCTCATTTGTACGAGGATTGGATGATAGATAATACACGCGTCGCTTCCATCATCCACCATTATTCGTTTTACATCGGTATCCGTAACACGTAAAGTTATAACAAGAGCATCATAATGAGGGAAAGACAAACCGTCGGCATCTGACTTATTGAAGATGATACTATCTTCGATGTCTTCGTACCGTTCGTGAGCGATTAATCATTTGAGTTTGTGTGTAGTGGTGAATTTTACGTGGTTAATTGCCGTGTCATCGCCACCGCCGATGATCATTTGTATAGTATGAGTGAGTGAAGGTGGTTTGGGGGTCCCTGAGGTTGATCACGCCCTAGAGCAAAATTAGCCCGCCCTCGATCACTCAACAGTTCTTTTAGGTGTCCTTGGTTTAGCATTCTTACTACTTCTTGCCGCAGGCCTATGCAGTCTTCGGTCTTATGCCCCCTTTCCTGATGGAATTCGCACAGAACATTCGCTTTCTGGGTGCTCGGGTCGGATTTTATCTTTTGCAGCCATTGCACCTTTGTGCCGAGCTTCTCTAGTGCATACACTATTTCTAAAGAAGAAACACAAAAGTTATGAGTAGATAATAGTGGAGGTATACCTCTTTCAATTTGCTGTGGTGTGGCATGTCGGGGAGGAGGTAGGGTGGATGTCTGAATGCAAGGCTGATGTCTCTCCCGACTGAGACGGGGTAGTTGATCCCTTCGGCCATCGTTTTGACGATCTTTCCTTACTTCAGTTTGGACTAATGTCAGCCGTTGGATCGGACCATTGAGGTCGTCATCGTCTACCCTTACTTCGACACAATAGGCGTTGTGGATTTCTTCCCAAGTGGTGGGAGGGTATTTCATGAGCATATTCAACAACTTTTTGGTAGCTTTCGACCCATTCCTGTTGTACTCGTTTTGGAAGGCTGCTACCGCCATCCCCTCTGATACGTTTGGTAGGCTCATTCTCACCTCGTTGAATCTGGCTCGGAAGTCCCTGAGTCCCTCATCCGTCGTCTGTCTAACGGCAAAGATGTCGTTTACCCTGGCTTCCGCCTTTTTCACTCCTGCATGAGCGATGACGAATTTGTCTGCTACTTCTTCGAACGTTGATATTGATTGTGCTGGCAATTGTGAGTACCAAGTCAGCGCTCCCTCTGTCAGGGTTTCACCGAACTTTTTCAGCAGCACCAATGACACTTGTTCTTTCGACATATAGTTGCCTTTTACGGCTGTGACGTAGTGGATTATGTGATCTTCCGGGTCTGTAGTATCATCATATATTTTCAAGTGTCACACCTCCTTTTTCCGGCACTCGCGAGGGGCGAAGGAGTTTTTTTCAATTAAAGGACAATCAAAACGAGATTTATTTAATTATATCAGAGTCGCCACTTGGGAGATTTAGGGTGTCCCAAGTCACTATTTAATCCCGAATCGAGGAAAAAATGACTTTGTATTACAGTTTGCGAACCAGAAATCCAGATAAGGAATTCTGTTAACCCGGGAGAAGGTATTAGGCATTTCCGAGTTCCGTGGTTCTAGCACGGTCTCTCAACTATTATATTTGGCTTATTTATCTGATTTTTTAAATAATTAAGAACTTATATGCAAATTTAGCTTTTAAAACCGCTTTTATCATTATTCCTCTTATTATTTTATACAAGAATTGCAACATCGTGAAAACGCATCTCGAACCACGTCACAATCAGTGTACACGTGATTTGTTGACGCATTTTGACTCTGCCAAGATTGGGATTTGGGTTACATAAATGCACACCCATGCTTAAGAAAATACCCTTATTAAATATGTGCCAAAATACTACGCGTTATTATACTATTAGGTAGGACTGTGAAATTTACTAAATGGCCCATCCCGGAATCTAAGTATTTTTTTAAAAAAAAATAAATAAGATTGGAGGACCCTGCAAATTTTGTATTGTTTATATTTATTTATTTTTAGAGAAATTCTCCCTTATTTTATGAATATCTTAAAATGACTACATTTCTTTTTATTAAACTTGTCTATAAATACAAAAATCAATTTTTTACATACTTAAAATAACGTATTAAATACTAGTTTAAGACAAATATTTAACGAAATGAAATATCACTAAAAATGTAATTATAAAAACTATATGGAATTGTCAAATAATATTTTAAAAGAAACTAATTATCCCATCTAGATTAAATTCACATTGTTAGATGACTTGAGCTATTGAAATTAATTATTTACAATTACGGAGAATTAGAAACAATCTTGACTACTAATGCGTATTTCTAAAAAATTAAATAATTTAACCTTAACTAACCTTGTTTTAATTCAAATCATGTTATAATACTTGATTCGCAAAATCAAAAAAAAATTCCTGTTTCACCTAAATTTAGCTACATGATTTTGATTAACTTAAGGTTAGTGATACTAAAACCCTTATAAATAAGGAACTTAATCAATTTTGCCAAACTGATTTAATAAAGTCA